ATCAGTTGGGAAACCATAAGATATCATAAATCAGAAACGACTGACGACGGTGTCTGTAGAAAACAAATGCAAAACAGTCTGGAAGGAGGACTTAGTCAAAGGGAATATAATTCATCAATTTCTGAAAAGAACATTAAAAAAATTGGAAAAATCAGTTAAAAGTAACAGTCTTCACACACTAAAAGAATTTAGGTCCCATCCAAGGTTTTTACTGCTTTTCAGAGGTGTTTGTGTGCAACCATTACATTACCTCCTAATTACCAAATCCAGTTTCAGCCTTTTAACCAGCAGGAGAGTCTGAGCTCATCTCTCCAAGACATATTTCTGTAATTTCTGTGAGAAATGTTGTTTTAGAAGCCAGAAGCACTTTCCCCCTGTCAAGCTGAAAGTCAGGCTGCATCTCTCTCAGTTTACTCATCATTCACCACCACACCAGCTAATTAAGTGGGTTGAATCTTGGCCACATTACGTTTAAAATCAGCCACATAAAGCATTTTCTAACACAGTTCTTTTAAGATTGGTTGGAACTTCGAGATGTTATGACTTAAATGTCAAATGATATCTAAAATACTTTTGATATTTACATGAGACCTCACAATTTTATACCTTTCCTGTCTGAGAAAAGAAAATTCAGGTTGAGGATGAAGTGGATGTAATGCAGATCAAACATCACCTCCTCTTTTTTTCTTCAAATGACCTGTTAAGATATTTCTTTAAGTGATTTGGAGAAAACATGAAGGTATCCAGTAATCCCAAATGCTGGGATTGAAAGGCATGAGAAGGGAGAGGAAAAAGGTCCAAGAGTCTGGATGGCAGGTGTGCCTGTACCTCCACCCAGCACACAGGAATGACCTATGTCCTGCAGTGGAGGAGGTCTATGGAAACACCAGTCCTCCTGCCCTTCTCCTGCTCCTGTGCCTCCACAGCAGGCTGAAGTCATCGTTAACCTGTCATGGGTGTTATTGCTGTGTTATGTGCAGTCACAGACTTCTGGACTGCAGCAGTGGACTCTTAATCAAGCAAGCAAGACTCACCTATTTTAGGAAAGATGGTGAGAATCACATCATCATTCCTGGTTTCAAAGGATTTCAGAGCTTCCAAAGTTTCTGGGCTGCTAAGAGCCCTTACGCCACAAAATACCTTTGTAGGAAAAAAACCAACAGATTTTGAGATGCAATCTTTCCATCTTCGTAAAGGCCTTTTGAATATTTCAGTGATTGTTTCCCCATTTCTGGTCAGTCTTGTTCCCTTGTTCAACTCCTTGCAGGCACTGAGATGCACACTGCTTTCTGTTATCTAGACAGCTTTTGATATCACCATGTATGCGTCCAGCATACATGCATCCAGCTCTGGAGTCATCAGCACAGGAAAGACATGGAGTGGGTCCAGAGGAGGGCCACGAAAATGATCAGGGGGATGGAACACCTCTCCTGTGAGGAAAGGCTGAGAGAGCTGGGGTTGTTCAGCCTCGAGAAGAAAAGGCTCTGGGGACACCTTATTGCAGCCTTTCAATACTTAAAGGGGGCTTATAAGAAAGGTGGGGACAACCTTTTTAGCAGGGCCTGTTGCGCCAGGACAAGGGGAAATGGCTTTAAACTAAAAGAGAGTAGATTTAGACTAGATACAAGGAAGAAATTTTTTACACTGAGGGTGGTGAAACACTGGAACAGGTTGCCCAGAGAGGTGGTGGATGCCCCATCCCTGGAAACATTCCAGGTCAGGCTGGACGGGGCTCTGAGCAACCTGATCTAGCTGAAGATGTCCCTGCCCATGGCAGTGGAGGTTTGGACTAGATGACCTCTAGAGGTCCCTTCCAACCCAAATGATTTTATGATTCTGTGTAGGAAATAGTAAAAGGCATGTATTAAGGAATACATTAAAATGTTGCTAATTCCAGAATTATGGGGCATAGTAGCTTGTCTCTTTTCATCCATGGAAGCCCAGAGTTAGATGAAGTCCTACTCTTCTGGGAATGAAAACCTACAAGACCAGAACCATCAGGTTCAAGCAATTTCACATGGGCAGCTCTTGCACAGAAGCAGGCTGTAAGTGGCCCATCAGAGCCGAATCTGCAACACTCCTTACTATTCCTGTCAGGGAGACATGGGACACTGCCTGGCAGCCAGAGCCCATCCCACCACCCCAGCCAGGAGCAGGGCATCCAATGGGAGCCAGGGCAGCCCCAGCCCCGGGCATCAGGCACCTCCCTGGGGACAGTGATGGGATGAGGATGAGCCAGGACATAGGTCCATGGATGGGTCCAGCTTGGCAGGG